TCTGTAACGATATCTGGTTTTAATTGGCTCATCATCAGTGTGAATTCCAATTGTTATCCTCGCAGGTTTCTTCTTGTGATTGGTTGTTGGGAGTACTGTCAGAGAGTGAGGAACATCGTGTCTTCTCCCCACCTGTGCATAGCTGTATTCCGCTGCCTATTTTCATCTGTGTACAGTCAGGACTTCGTCTCCTCTACCCCTTCTCTTATGCATGTATGGGCGTGTATGAGACTGTCTGTGTGTGAGTGGCGGTAAAAATCGTCAGACAACCACGTTCATAACACGATCCTCACATCAACTTCTTGACAATTCAATGTGTTACCTACTGGGCTAGCTACCGAAGTAGGAGCAACTCCTTGGGGAGATGCCAGTGTTCAGGAGCCCTGCCGACTTTGGCGTTGAGGCCCCCGCCTACTTAAGCTCTCCAGCGAGGCCGCCCGTTCTCAACCCGGCCAGTTGCCCTCCCTAGTTGGTTAGTGTCAGATTTCCATACCGTGGGTTGGGGCTCAAATCCTTGCAGATTTTTGAAATCGACTAGGGTTGGGCACAATTTTTCGGATAGAATAACCTACGAAATAGGTTGGAGAGCCTATATCCTTTATGTCACGGCCGCGCACTGGACATGACCAGTCCCGTAACCATTTAGGCTTCCAATCGTGCGGCTGTTAGGCTGCACACCCTAATTTCAAGTAGGATTGATTTAGAATTAATATTCCAGCAGCCGCGTATCGCTGTGACCTTACTAAAAAGGCGGAATACAATTGGCCGCACCGCCGGTTATCATCCACCATTCCTGGACGTCAGCAAGCGTCTGGACTTAACTTCAAAAAAACGGTTTTAGCCTCTCAGCCATGGGTTTGGTCCGAATACGCTTTTGGTAGACTCCTAACTCATCAAATCGTTCATTTTATAAATGCCCGACATAAAAAATATTGAGCAGATACCCTTGAAGGGTTTCTGCTCGGACACCCCCTCCACGCCCTCCCCATGGGCCAACTACGGTCGCATAATCCCCTCCTGACTATTTGCGCATTCTCCTCCTCCAGTCTGTAATCTCTCTATTGATAGGGAACCTCCTCTACTCCCCCTTCCTCGAAAGTCACTAACAAATTGCCTGACTGGGACTCGGTACAATGATACAGCATGAAATCCTTTCATAAGCATGACTAAGCCCGACTGTTTCGTCGCACTTCCACTGACTCATCAGGAGATTGAACTCTGACAGTCTGCCCAAGATAATGCTCATGGCCAAGGACTCACCACGTGAGCATGTGTGTCGTCATATCCACCACACAACCACAACGAAAAGCATGATTGTGTGTGGGTTTGTGGTCAAACGTACAGTGAAGACGTAGTAGAGCATAGAAGTGTAGAGGGAAGTCGGTGTCGAGTGTCGTAGCCTAGGGTATGAAAGTCGAAGTCGATAGGAGGCCAGATGTGATGTGGGGGCGGGTTTTCCCGCACCGCCTCCCAAAACAGGTTAAAGTTCATTACAGGAGGCCACATGTGGGAAACGTGCGCACTGACCCGATATTGGCCAAGCGCAGTACCACCAAAAATTGGCCCAGTGCGGTACAGGGCCAGTGCACAATTTTTTGTTTCTACTGGCCCTCTGTGCGGTACCCAGAGCGATTTTGCTACGGGCCCAAAACGAGCGTCTACAAAACGATCAACAAACAATCACCGTGCGGTGCACCGCTGACGGTCCAGATTGCGAGTTGATCGTTCAAAACGATCAGAGTCCAATCCGGACCGTTGTGGGGCAACGAAAAGGATGGCCCAGACCGTCTGCTGGTCACAGGCCACGAAATAGCGATTCCTATAGTGTAGCAATCCAAAGCTCCGCTAGGGTATGCTCCCAAGGCTGGTGACAGCCCCTTTGGCTGGGTAAGGTTCCCCCGACAGGCCCATCTCGTTGAAGGGTTTTGTCGAACAGCAGTAGTGAACATTCACTGCATCCCATGAGCTCAGAATTACTGCATGACACGACTAACAAAGGTCGGAGCTAGGTCACAAGACTCTTGGATCCTCTCCATATGTGCTGTGAAACAGCAGCCTCCAAGACTTGTACCTGCAGCAAACACTTCAGCCCCCTCGTGAAGATCATCTGTTGAATTCAATCTCGGTTGAAGGGTCCCCATGCTTTCATCCATGCCAAAAACAGAAGTCCAAAAACTCTCACACGAGACAATATGTAATCAAGCCAAGAAAACAAATCCAAAAGCAACCCTTAGCCTCAGAAGTACAAGACTTACCCTAGCCACCCTTTCGTGTGTGCACGTGCTGGGGAAACCGGGGTGGAAACCACGTATTCAATCATGCTCATACAGCGAATGCACAATTGAGAGCAGCAGTCAGAATCCTCTCCTTACCTAAATAGTGCAGCAACCACAGTATGCACTGTTGAAAGGCTGGATAAGTCCAACTCCATGTCATCACTGTCAACAGCCTGCCAACAACCAATCAGTTTCCGAGACAGACAATCAACACCAGAAGCACGTCAAACTGATGAATTTTAATCAAAGACAAGGTTGCCTGTTGCAGCTTCGCCCGCAAAAAAACGAAGGGAAAAGGGTGCAAATGAGGGTGGGTAGGGTTTTGTTGGTCCGGGTGTGGGTGTGGGTGGAGCCGGCATGTTTTTAAGGCTCACCTGTGCACTGTTGTTGGCACTGCCGATGGAATGCTGCTGCTGCTTTGTATGCCTTGAATATATGTTTTTTTTTTCTTTTGTTTTTGCTTTTGTCCTGTCAGAGACCTGTCACAGTATGCATTCCTTTCAGTTGTGGTTTGCTGGGTAGGTGGTTGTTCGGATTTGAACATACCTGTCTCCCGCTCACCACAAATATTATTTCTCAGATGTCGGTCGTGTGGGGGGGGAAGGGGCAGAGGCCGTGTAGTTAGTCAGATTGGGGTCTCTCTCTCTCTCTCTCTCACACACACACACACACACACACTCACACACACACACATGCTATTTCTTTTCAAGATCTCGATGGACCACGGATCAGACATGAAACTGATCGGAGCAGATCCTACACTTCATCGTGGGCGGTGGGGTGGCACGTAGTTGGTTAGATTGGTCTCTCTCTCTCTCTCTCTCTCTCTCTCTCTCTCACACACACACACACACACACACACACACACACACACACACACACACACACAACACATGCTATTTCTTTTAAAGGTCTCGATGGACCACGGATCAGATATGAAACTCATCGGAGCAGGTACTACACTTGACCGTGGGGGATGGGGTGGGGGTTGGGGTGGCACGTAGTTAGTTAGATTGGGCTCTCTCTCTCTCTCTCTCTCTCTCTCTCTCTCTCTCTGTATATCTATCTATCTATCTATCTATCTATCTATCTCTCGTCGCACCTGATCATACCAGATACTACACTTGATCGTGTCGGGTAGGGGGTGGGGTGGCACGTAGTTAGTTAGATTGGGCAATCTCCCTCTCTCTCCCACGTCTTGCGCGCGCGTTTAAACCATCTTGATGGACCTCTCTCTCTCTCTCTCTCTCTCTCTCTCTCTCTCTTGTTGGTGCACGCGCCCTTTTTTTCATTCTTTTCTTTTCTAATATAAAGAGGTCTCCATGGACCACGGCTCAGATATGAAACT